GTGATAGCACAAACATAACCAGAGCTCTGATGCCAACTGAAGGTGAGAAAAACACTTAGAAAGGGGGGTTGAATAAGAGTTTTAAATAAAATGGCAATAAAAACAACTCAAGATTTTTATCCGGGTTCGTTGAACTCAACTACTCCAGTCCACTTTATCAAAGATGATTTGTCTTTCTCCACAAGGACTTAATCCACTATTAATCAACTGATTACAATAGAAAGTACTAAGAATAACTGTCTTAGTCTTCTCAAGAACTACTGACCACACCTTGGTCTTCTCAAGGAACTTCTTACAAATTAATGTAAACTAAACAAGTGTTTAAATGCTTCTAATAAGCTGTATCATAACTGTGATATTTACACTTAAGATTAAGTACAACTAAAACTATACAGTTTTATGAAAGAACAAATGTATAATAACTTTGAGAGATTTTCACTTTGATGCTTCAAGCGTGTGTATCAATATTTATTTCTAATTGAACAACTTCTGAATGTTGTAGAAGTTCTCCTTTTATAGCTTTTTCCAAGTGCTTTAAATAATGTGCAGTTGAGTATTATATTGAAATATAAGATTTTTCATCACCAAAAGGTATGGGCAGAGACATGCTTCTTGCAGGAAAAGTATGGTTGTAGAAGCTTTGGGATTAGCACCACGTCTCTTCTTTGGAAAAAATAGTCGTTGGTTAATTTGGAAGTAGCACCACGTCCAATCAAGTTTACAGCTTCTTCAACAAGCTTCCTTCAGGATGAAGTCTTCATAATCTGCACTTCAGAACTTGTAACAAGCTTAAAAGGAATCAAATACTTGAGATGATCAGAGCTAAATGTTTGAGATGATCAGAGCTTTGATAGATGATCAAAACTTGATATATCAGAGTCTCAATCTTGATCAGAGTCTTCATCAGAGTATGCAGCAGTAAGTGCTTGAGCGTGAATATTATTTGATTAGAGTCTGATTATCAGAGCCTCTGTTCTTGCAGTGAAATGAACTTCAGAGTCTGATTTGATCAAAACTTTCAACTCTTTATACAATTCTTTCAGAAATGCTTCAGATCATTTTGCAGCTTCTGCTTCAGATTCTTCTGGCAACGCTTCAGAGTCTTCTGATTGTCTTGCATCTGATGCTTCAGAGCCTTGCGTAGTTGCTTGTACTTGTGTATTTTTCTTCTTTAAGAGTATTCAATTTAATACCTGAAACAATAATACTTGAACAAATTTAGAGTATATAGTTTCTTAATACAAAATCCCATAAAAGTTATCATCAAAACATAGAGATATAAGAAATACCAATCTGTGTTCTAACAGAACCAATCTGTGTTCTAACAGTAAGAAGCAACTAAACTAAGTAAGCTAAACAAAAACAGTGAATACTTGTAGTACTTGTAGAGAAATCACCAACTTCTAGAACTACACAGTAAGATTCTTGGAAACAATCACAATCTTCACAAGTAACCCCTATAACAAATTAACATACAAAATTAATTCATGTTTTCATCAACAACATCAACATCAACATTAACAACATCAACAACAACATTTGGAATCACATTTAACAACGTCAGAAAATGATACATTTGGTAAGAAGCAACTAAACTAAGTAAGCTTAACAAAAATAGTGAATACTTGTAGCATTTGTATAGAAATCACCAACTTCTAGAACTACACAGTAAGATTCTTGAAAACGATCACAATCTCCACAAGTAACCCCTATAACAAATTAACATACAAAATTAATTCATGTTTTCATCAACAACATCAACATCAACATTAACAACATCAACAACAACATTTGGAATCACATTTAACTATTAAGCAACTAAGCAAAATTTGTCTTATTCTCATGTTACTATTAACATAATAAGAACTCTTTTCAAAAATCATATAACAGAGTTATAACAAATTCCAAAATGTTAAAGCTAATGCATTTCTTAACAAACTATTCAAAATTGTTAATTTTTAAAATCTTATTATAGATACGAAATATCTAATATTGTTTATTAAGTAATTTTAGAAGACAAAGTGAGTTCTAATAATATCACTCAAACTCAAACTATAAATTTTCCTAAAACTAGAATATATAAAATGCAAAGCTATACCATAAACCGCTAAAAACCAGAATGTTATTCATACTGTCATATAGAATTCCGTCTGAAATATATGATATAAATCTTAAGCTGTTGTCCATTTTGGTTACAAAACCCTGTTTGAAATTATACTGTCGAAGTTACAAAATTCTGCTTAAAATCATGTTTAATGCAGAATTTAACTAAGCATAATCACATGCAGAATTTTGGTTTCCAAAGTTACAAAATCTTGCTTCAAATCATGTCTAACATCCTGCTTCATGACATAATTCTACATATCAATAAAAACTTCATATAAATGAGCTAACTCATAAAAGCGATAGATGAATGAAAAGTAAATCACATCATATTTATAATACCGATTATACTAACAATTATCATAACCAAAATACCAAAATAGAAGCTTCCCTTGAACAAAAGTTGAATGTTTATAAATTCTCTATTAAGATAACACTTAGAAACCTGGAATAAAAGATGCTTATAACTCACTTTTTATAACCTAAATATCCTAAAAATGAAGTTTCTAAATATCCTAAAATTGAAGATACTGTTACTGCTCCAGATTTCTTTGTCAATGAGATTAAACTAAACTATAAACCCTAGAGCAAACTAAAACTATCATAAACATAGAAATAGAAATAAAAACAGCAATAACAACAAGAACACATCAATAACAGTGGTGAGAGAATGAGAGAGAATGTACGGAGGGAGCACGATGGAGGGTGATGGTTCAATGGTGAGATATTGAGAGAAAACGACGGAGATACGGCGATAGAAAGAGGGAGCACGACGGAGGGAGAAGGTTCAGTGGTGAGAGATTGAGAGAAAACAACGGAGGGAGCGCGAGAGAGAGAAAGAAAGAAATACTCTGAAGTGTTAAATGAAATAATGAAAAGTCTATTTTATTTTTAAATAACTAAAACCTATAGCATCGCTTTCTAAAGCGCTTTTAAAACCCCCATATAGCAGCGCTTTCTCCTTAAAAGTGCTTTCGTAAATCCCACCTTTAGAAACGCTTTTAGAAAGCGCTTTCTAAAGTCTGCCTAGGGCAGGACATTTAGCAGCGCTTTCATATTCCCCCTTATAGCAGCGCTTTTAGAAAGCACTTTCGTATCCCCCCTATAGCAGTGCTTTTAGAAAGCACTTTCGTATCCCCCTATAGCAGCGCTTTCGTATCCCCTCCCTATAGCAGCGCTTTCATGAAAGCGCTTTCTATAGTATTATAAAATAAAAACCTTTATCAGCGCTTTTTAGAAAGCGCTTTCTAAAGCCTGTGATATTTTTTTATAAATCCTTTAGCAGCGCTTTTAATAAAAACGTTGTCTTTGTTGCGCTGCCAAATTTCATTTTTGGCGTAGTGTTAGCTTAACATAGAGCATCCTTATGGATTTCAAGAGCTTGGCTCATGAAACTAACTTAAAGAAGAAGGGAGACATGTAACTTGTGTTTCCAATTTCCTTGTCTGACTTAAGACACCTTGCACACACTTGGCTTTCTCTTGGGCTACCTGGCAATGAGACGCTTTATTTCTTGCACACATCCCTTGTATTTTTCATGTACCCCTCTCCCCTTTTGATGTACTAGTTTCTTTACTTTTCCACTTTTCGTTGATTTGGTTTTGCTTGCTAGCTTTCCTTAAGGATTAGGATCAACTTCTCCATTTTCTCAAACCTTTGATCTAACGTCAAGTGGTATCTTCTTAATAAAACCCTTGATCCAATGCCAATCGACATTTTCTTAATAAACTCAAAAACATGTTAAAATACGATTAGAATTATGCGCCACGAGTCTTAAGTGGTGGAGAAGGAGTACTGAGAATGGAGCTTTCCTGCCCTCACTCCGAGTATTTTGGATACGAGACGTTTGACTTGATAGTTTGAAATATTCACCTATACCTATAGTCCTTAGTGCAATTCAAGTCAAAAACAATCTCTTCCTAAACCCTAAAATCAACCTCAACTCATCAAATTCTCTTCTTTTGCACCTTAGGGCATCATTCCAAAAACCTTTTTTCAAAGAAAAATTAACCAACACACACTTGTTTTTTAGCTCCGAACTACGAAGCTCTGATTTTCTTATTGCACTATGAGGATACATAGACACGAGATTGCGAAATCTTGGCGAGCACCCTAATAAAAAATCCACCAGTTTCCCTTTAGCATGTAAACCTTTAGATAGACGAAACTATTCGCGCTTAGACGACCTAGATAGTTTTCGTTGAGTACAACGGATGTGAAGGGTGTTAATACCTTCCCCTTACATAACCGACTTTCGAATCCGAATTTGATTGCGAAACCATTTTCTTCACCTTTTATGGAGGTTTATCGTTATTTTCTCTTTCCTCTGTATAAATAAAATTCAGTGCCGACTCTGTGATTTTTTCGCATACCAACACACCTTTCATGAGAACTATTAAAACCGCATCGTTACTTTTTTAGTTTTAAAATATTTACTAATCTCTTTTGACGTCTTTTAAAATGATATTGATATTTCATCTATTTTTTAATAACAAAATTATATATATATATATATATATATATATATATATATATATATATATATATATATATATATATATATATATATATATATATATATATATATATATATATATATATATATATATATATATATATATATATATATATATATATATATATATATATATATATATATATATATATATATATATATATATATATATATATATATATATATGTTAAAATTAAAGAAGATGTTGGTGTGATTTTAGCAAAACTTAAATGAGTTTAGCCTAAATTTCCTTTATATAGAAATCAAAACCTATGTCATCATCACATCACAAACGTTAATACGCAAATCAATTCAAATTTTTATTAGAAAGCTTCAGTGATATAAAATTAACCTTACATATGCGAATTCTTCACAAAAAAGATTACACAGCACGTGGCAATCTCAGTAGAATAATATTTTTCTTCATTCTAAGCTGTCCAAGATGCTGATTGGTTGCTTGAAGATCATGCCAGAGTTGACTATTGAACCCACTTCCCTGCATGAGATTCATAGCTTGAAGGTTCGATAATTGCTCATACTTATTGATTTCCTCATCCAAGTCACCAACATACACATGATTCAATTTCTCCAATACATCCCTTGCAATTCTTTCCACAAGTTCAGATTCCATGCTGTTTACATATCAAGTTTAAAATACTCATTAAAATTTAATACTGCAATGTCTGCAATCGCAACACTTGTAACCATAACTGCAACTACAACTGCAATTTATAGAAATAAATTACCTATTGACAGAGCAATCCCAGCCAGCTAAATTAGCAACTTCAGCCAAAGAACTTCTCCACCTTTGCACCTTACTCATATTGCTCCTAAACTGCTTCTCATGTTTAGCAAACGCGATTCCGTAACTTCCTGTTTGATTACGCACATTAGATGGATCTATACCGTAGAATATAGGCACCACAACTTGTCCATTGTTCTTTTTACATTCAAGTATTTTGACAAGTTCATCCAAACACCACTTTGAATTGGCATAGTTTTCAGATAAAACAACCACGGAAAGCTTTGATTCTTGAATTGCCCTTAGAAGTGCGTTTGATATTTCATCTCCTCTTACAAGATTGTAGTCTATGTAGGTTTTGATTTGAAACCTTGTTAAGCAAGCATGAAGATGGCTTGTGAAGGTGTAGCGTGTGTCCTCACCCCTAAAGCTAAGGAACACTTCGTGAGTATTTTGAGGAATATTGGAAGAGGTTGATTGTGACATATGAGACATCTTAGTTGGATTTAGGAAGGTAACTCTTCTTGATGGTTTGAACTAAACTATGAAACACCTTCTATATGTACACACATAACTATATATAATATTGTTTCGTAGTATTCCATCCATCAAACTCAATAAGTAACATTGAACAAAGTAAAATAATATAATTTTATAATAATAAATATAAGGTTAAATATATAACACTTTATAATGTAAAAGAGATTCGCTTTCGCCTCTGTAAAAGAATTTTTTTTATTCCCCCTCTCTTTATATAACTCCTCTTTATATGACTCTGAATCCTTTATTTGCTTATGTGGCATGTGTATGTTTTTTTTTTTTTTGTAAGCAAGCAATAAATTATATTAAAGAGAACTAAGCGTTCTCTAAACACCACTTACAAAAATAGGAAAGGGACAAGACCCTAAAATCAAGAAAATACAAACCAAATTGAAGACCTACTTTAGAAAGAATAAGGGCTCTTTGCTAAAGTCATAAAAACAACAATTGGGGTAAGTAATTTCACCAATAGGCCTCCATTTCCAAACCAAGATTTTCACGTTCCAAATCAAACTATCCACATTCCAAGCTTCATTCCGGAAACAAAACCCATTCCTCGTGAGCCAAATGCACCAAGTCAATGCTAACCACACTACACCTAATATACCTTTCTTGAAATTGTTATCTTTACAATATATGAACCAATCCTTATAACTACAAAAACAATCATCCTCCTCTATCCAACTTTTTCCAATCCAATTAGCTATACTCCGCCAAACCACCTTCAAAACATTACACTTAAAAAAAGAATGAACACAATCTTCCGGGTGAATCCCACAAAACACACAAAGAGAATTCTCGCCGGAAAAAACGACCCCTCTAGCCGCTAGCAAATCTTTTGTTGGTAGTCTATTATTAAATAACCTCCAAGCAAAAGCTTTGATTTTGAACGGGACCTCATCTTTCCAAATCAATCGAAAAGCGTCATCATGAATATTCGGAGGACCCATAGGGATCCGAAAAAACTCATAAAATTTATAACACGAAGCGACCGAGAAAGTACCGTCCGGTTCTCCAACCCAAGAAACCGTGTCCGAACCACTACTCTCCGGCTCAATCGGTTGAATCAACTCACGAAGTGACCCTACTTCCTGCCCGTTCGGCCCACTGCCTCCCGAGACCTCCGCCGGGGCCAATCCCAAATCACCCCACCTCCAAACATGATCAACCCATCCTCCCATCCCCGCTACCGAAACCAATCTCAATCTAGTTTCTTTATACAAGTTCGGAAACTCGTCCATCAAGCAAAAATTACCCGTCCAATTCACTTCCCAAAAAGGGGTGGTGAAACCTCTTCCGATCTTGAAATTGCACAAACGCACCATCGGATCCAAATGGCCAAATTTACCGATGGAAATAAGGTCTTTCCACCAATAAGAGGAAGAAGGGGATGAAGTAGTAGAATGAGGAGGAGAAGAGTTAGAGATAAGAGAATGCGTACCTTTGCTTAACATGACGGATGAAATGTCACCATAGCGAGCCTTCAATAAACGAAGCCACACTTCATCTCCGCCTTTTAGAATTCTCCACCTCCACTTGTTAAGTAGAGCCACATTGAAATCCGGCAAGTATTTCATACCAAGGCCCCCTTTGTCAATAGGGAGACACACCTTCTTCCAACTCACCCAATGAATTTTCCTCCTCTCTTCCACACTTCCCCACAAGAAGTCACTTAAAATCTTATTAACTTCTTTAGACACCGCACTTGGCATTTTGAAAAAAGATAAAGTGAAGATATATAAAGAACACAAGACCGATTTAAGAAGAGTTATCCTTCCTCCCAAAGATAAGAAACGATTCTTCCACCCCAAGAGTCTCTTTTTAATTTTGAGCAATAGAGGATTCCAAGTAGATGCTTTCCTTGGATTAGACCCAATGGGGATTCCAAGGAAATTAACGCTACTATCTTCCTTCCTACAAGATAACACAAAGGAAGCCGCATCCAAGAAATTCGAACTAATATTAACACCAATCAACTTACTCTTGTGGTAATTAATACCAAGACCCGAAACAAGTTCAAAGGCTCTAAGAACCGCTTTTATCGCCCACACATGCTTCCACGTACCTTCCCCCACAATCAAGGTGTCATCCGCGAACTGAAGTAAATCCACCATGCACTTGCCATTAACTACAAAGCCTTCGAACTCACCAAGCTCTTGAGACTTCCTAACAAGACCCGCCAGACCCTCCGCCACAATAACAAAGAGAAAAGGAGATAGGGGATCTCCTTGTCTCAAACCCTTTTCAACCTCAAATTCCTTAGTAGGACTACCATTCACCAAAACAGACATCTTACTTTGAAAAATAAGATTATCCATCCATTTCCTCCACAGCGAACCAAAACCCATCTTTGTTGACATAGATCTAAGGAAATTCCAACTTACATTATCATAAGCTTTCTCGAAATCCACCTTAAAGAGAACACACCCTTTTCTTTCCTTCCGAGCATAATCCATCACCTCATTAGCCACCAAAACACCATCTAGCATTAATCTACCTGGCACAAACGCACTTTGACAAGGCGAGATAATTCGGTCCAGAACTTTCTTCAATCTACTTGCTAACAATTTGGAAACAATCTTATGCAAGCAACCAACCAAGCATATAGGTCTATAATCATCCAGAGTAACCGGATTAGTAGATTTAGGAATCAAAGATAAAAAAGAAGATGTTACCGACTTAGAGATACGACCACCCGAATGAAAGTAATTGCAATAACGGAAGATGTCATCCTTCAAGAAACTCCAACATCTTTTGATGAATAAGAACGAGTATCCATCCGGACCCGGACTTTTTGAAATTCCACATCCCCAAATAGCCTCCTTAATTTCCTCCTCCAGAAAAGGACCCTCCAAAAAAATCCTATCTTCTTCATTAATGCCGTCAAAAGTAATGCCCTCAAGAAACGATTCCTCACCTTCCATGACCTTAAATTTTCTAGCAAAATGCCTATGAACCTCAAACTTAACTTCCTCCACTTTCTCTATCATGCTCCCCGCAACATTAAGGGGACCAATATGGTTATGTCTTCTCCTTTCCTTAATAGCTCTGTGAAAAAATCCGGAGTTCGAATCACCTTCTTTAAGCCATTTGATTCTAGATTTTTGAACCAACATGTTTTCCTTTATCCTCAGATTCGTCCAGAATTTGGTTACCGCTTCCTTTCTAGAATTCGTATCTTCTAGAGATAAGCCTCCCGGAGCAACCGTCTCGGCTAAAACATCCCCCGCATTTATGTCTCCCACCGTTTCCTCCACTTCCAAATCAATCTTACCGAAAACTACTCTATTCCACCATTTGAGTCTATCTTTGAATATCTTCAACTTCTCTTTAAGAACAAAATCACCTCTCCCTTCCACGTGAATGTCTTTCCACTCCCTTTCCGAAAAGACTAAGAAATCATCTTTCGCAAACCATTCATTGTTAAATTTGAACGGTTTTGGACCCCAATTCTCTTTGTACGACGCCAACCAAATAGGACAATGATCCGAAATGTCTCTAGGACCAACAAGTTGTCCCGTAACTCCCCAATCATTCACGGTAGAATTGGAAATCAAAAATCGATCAATCCGACTCATTGAATTTCCGTTGCTATTATACCAAGTGAACTTCTTTTCCTTGCAAGGAACATCAATTAGACCACTCTCATTAATAAAGTTGCCAAAAAGCTCCATCTCTTTAGTGTTCTCCCCATCTTGTCTCCCTTTTCTTTCACTCCTATCTTTAACGGCATTGAAATCGCCCCCTATAATCCATTCTCCATCTTTATGACTATCCATGAGACTTAACAAATTTGACCAAAGATCTTTCTTCTTACTAAGAACGCAAGAGGAGTAAACGTTCACCACATAGTAAATTTTGCCTTTCCAAATCACCTTTGTACCCAAGAATCCCTCTCCCTTGAAACTATTCAACGCTTCCACTTTGTCACTCTTCCATAACGTTATTAAGCCGCCAGAATATCCTATAGAATTTGAAAATGAAAAGTCCACGTCCATCTTACTCCACATACTATAAGCAACAAAATCCTCCATGTTAGAAATTTTGGATTCTTGAACCAAGAACATATCCGCTTCCCCCTTTATGATTATAGCACTCAACCTCCTCCTTTTCAAAGCGCTACCTCCTCCACGAATGTTAAGGGATCCAATAATCATTTAAAACCGGGTGATTTCTCCTTCTTACCATTAACCTTCTCTGTTTCAGAATTAATCAATTCAACAACTCTTTTTGCAATTTTAAGTCTGCCCTTAGGATTAGAAATCCCCAGATTTTCAATTGCCTTTAGTAATTTACCGTTCCCCTTCGGATCAATACACTCCCATTGCCTTTGGTTATTCCTGTGAATGTCAGAATCTTCCCTCTGCCAACCTGCTCCACTACTTTCCGCCATAGAACCACTGTCTGGGACAAAATACACTACTCCGGATTTTTGAGCGCAATAATCCACCTGCGGCAACTGTTTCTGCGCAGAATCTTTCCCTCTTCTTCTCTTCGCCGGAAACGACGCTTTCCGGCCCAACAAACCTCTTAATTCTTTCATATGTCTAACCTTTGTTTTCTTGATAACCTTCTTGTGAGTTGGGACAGAGTAAACCGGTACCTGCAGATCGCAATTAGCAGACAGACAATTCAGATTGTTACCCAAATCGAGCAGCCCTGCAGACTGCACAACTCCTGGAGCTACCCTCGGAATCAACCCCTTCTTCATATTACTATTTGCTTCATCAAAGTTCCCCAAATCACTATTAGGAACGGTCGACGAGAACGAGGAGAAATCATCCTCCCCAACAGGAACAGAACCGTTTCCGGATAACACAGCAGCAACGCAGATAGGTCCTTTGTCACCCTGCTCAACCAGTTTAACCGAATCACCCCCCGTCCCTCCCTTAACCTCAAAAAACTCCTCTTCTTCAAAATCAGCAGAGGCCTCACTGGCCACTTCATCAGAGTCC